CATGTAAAGCACTTTGCATTGTCTTTGTACTGAATTGTGCTATACAAATAAATTTGCCTTGCCTTGCCTTGCCTAAATTAAATGGAAAAAAGAGAGTAAAATATGAGATATTTGGTGTGCATTTCTATTTAGCACTAAATAAAACCTAGTGAAACCAACTTTGTTCAGAAGTCAGCTAATTAGTAAATAATGGAAGAAGCAACTGGGTGCCATGGTAACTCAGGAGCTGCAGAGATGCAAAGCACAGGATCGAATACTATCCACAGGATTTCGAAGGGAAACCTTAAGGCACCCCATTAATGTGAATATGTGGATTTCACAAATCTGGCATTATGGAAGAGTGATGACAAGAAAGCAATTGTTGACAGAAAGCTATAAGAGCTACTGTTTAATATTTCCAAAACAAGTGGTCAGGTGAGATCATAATTCTACATTTTTGCTCATGTGGTGTGGAAAAGCCTTCCTTTATCTTAGAAGATAATCTATTTGAGGCAGTAGAAGACATAGGGTCTGGGCAGTGGTAAACCTTCCGTTCAGATCAATGTCTATAAACATACATCCAGAGCTAAAACAGAACGGATTAGTTCCAAATGCATTCATGAGTTAAGACGCCCATGTCAAAGTCCTGGTCTAAAGTCGGTCAATAATCTGTTGCAGGAATCATAAATATCCTGGTCACAAGAGTCTTTTCCTATTTCTGCTTGGAGAAAATGTTAAAACCAGCTACTAGGGCTATAACTAATGATTATTTTACAAATCGATTAATCTGTCAATTATATTTTAGATTAACCGATAAATAAACTGATAGCCAAAGGTTCCTTAAAGAACATTTTTTTAGGAAATTAAACCTTTTCTTAAACTAAACATAAACCTTTCTGCTGAAGGAGTTCTCACTAGAGCATATTGATGGACAAAAACATTTTTTATTTATTAAATGCAAATTCTTTTTTTTACAATCTTGGTATAATTAATGCTCTAATTGAGTCACTCCGTCATCTAGAACCAGGTTTTAGAGTCTCTATACTCCAGTAAAAGATTAATCAGTTTCTAATTTAGTTGACGGTTATTTTAATAATCGATCAATCCGATTAATTGTTTCAGCCCTACATGTTTCCTTTTTCTTTTATCTCAACAAACATGTACTCATATCTCATAAACTGGTTGGACAATTAATAAGGGTGTATGACCACTTTCAGTCGGCTTTGAACAAACCGCTTCTTTAAAACTGTATTGTTGTAATAACCACTCACCTTTTGATTGTAATTCCTCGTCCTCTTTGTCGGTGAAAATAAATGTCTATGAAGAAGGAGCAGAAAAAACAAGATTTAAACATACAAGCTCGACTAGTAGTAATTCTTTGTTTCATCTCTTCTTTTCAGGTGACAATTACTGAAGCTATAATATTTAGAAAAATGACTCACTATTATGAAAAAGCCATTTCAGGGAAATATTAATACTGTTCCCCGATATGAGCTTGAACAATGAACAGCATGAAAACACACAAATAGACACAGTTGGAAGAGGCTCTAAGGAGAATCACTTGGCTGAATCAGCCTCATCTTCATCAGATAATAGACTTTAGAGTAGATCACATTTAAAGATTTATCTTTATTTGCTCTAAAGACAAACACACCTTAAAACACGCTGACATTTAGAAAAATAAACAGCAGTGCAATAGTGGCATCTGGTGGTGCAAAATATCTCTCAACAAGTAATTGTGGATTTAATAGTCACACTAATCTTTTTAATAATCAGCACCATTGTCTTTGCAAACCCAGCATGCTTATTGGTCTCACAAAAAGAGTCAAAAGAAAGTAGCTCTGTTGTATACTGACAGAGAGGATAAGAATATCTTTCTAGTAAAAAATTAAATTGACAGTTTTTAAAATATATTAGACATCCAGTTTAAACTACATGTACAGGTAGGTTATAAAATAATTTATTTTCTGCTTTTGTGTCTTTTTTCAGTTTGTTTGTTCCCTCTTTTTAGGTACGTCTGTATCAAAAATTCTACTAAATATAATTCTGCAGAAAGATATCCAAAAATGTTTTAATTAATCGTTTAGAAATTGAGAAATGCAATGATGTTTTGCTAAATATTTGTTCAGAAGCTGATTAAAGAAAATCAGCAGTCTTGATTTAACAGATTCCTGATGCATTTTGAATGCACTGCAAACATTTTCTTTTTGCTTTTTTCCATATTTCCAAACAGATGCAGCATGTAAAGAGAAGAGCTGTGTCTTTAAGGTCTGCAGGTCTCGGAAACTGATGAGGTTTGCTCCAAGGGTTTGAGGAAATGACTCCATTTGCACAGTTCATCAAGCTGAACTGGTTGGTGCGTTCGTCTGTCTCTGCCAGTGAGGCAATAAATAACCTCAGAATGAGACAAATCACCTGTTAGATAAGATAGAAACAAACAGTAACTAATGTTTTATTCAAAGGAGTTTAATTAATATTTTCTCTCAAATAGAAGAAGCTAGAAAATTGCCTTCCAAATTTGAAGACTTTCTTTATTGTTCCAAGAGCATGACTAAAGATACAGAAATAAACAGCAATTCAACATATTAAAATAATAATTATTATTATTATAGTTATATGTGAGGGTAAAAGCCTGGCCTTTTTGGAAGACTAGAGGGAAATATCAAAACTATTGAATGTTTGATTAGATTTTTCTATTCAGTACAGTGTATTCATATGGCACCATTTTACAATACATGTCACCTCAATGCACTGGATAGAGACAGTTCAATCAGATCATACAGACAGTCTGGTTAAATGTTTCCTAGCTAAAGAAAGACAACTGATTTAATAGACTCATTGATGTGCACTATGTGCTCCTCTTAAATTAGCATGTAGCAAAAGTGGAAATTTGCTTGATTGAGTCTGCAGTATCCTCTCTTATATCTCTATTAGTGCAACTGTAAAATCTAAAGAAAAAAAATAAATACATGTGTGCATCCTTAAAATAGAAATGCTTAATTTCAAATAGATTCCAAACATTTATAAGATG